TGTCTGCTTCAAAAGTCTATAAACAAATCTACTATAACACGTCATTAATATTTATGAGGAGTAAATAGCAGAATCGTTGGATAGACAGACACGAACAATATATACAAGTAACGTCTTTGTGATATGTTCCCAGCCACTACCGGTAATTTGGTTACCGGTAGTGTCTGGGAACACTTCTTAACAAAATAGACGTACCCTATCTAGGTTCCTCGTGCAGCAAATGTGCAGCTTGTGGTAGTACCTAGAAGATAAACTGAACCGCAGACAAACGTAGTGTTGCGTGTAACGTGATGGCAGCGAGGACTGTGCTAAATTGTTTGTACTTTATAGAATTCTTGAAAATATACGTTACACCATAAACTGCAATTACCAACTACCTGCGTGTTTCTTACACTGTCGTCTCCACATGTAGTGGTGGGTCACCCAACACTGCTCTTGCCTACGAGTACGAGCTTACTGATCCGATGAGCTATGTCAGTCACTCATTTTCTTCTGAGAATATCCTCGACTTGGTTTTTCCCGCAGAGAATTTTCGAGCAATCCGAGAATTGCATCGCACATTGGGTGACTTTGAGTTTTCCCATACAGCCATAACTGAATGACAACGTTTTATTTCCGCAAGTTATCATTGGCAACACGTACTCGTTGTACATTTTCATCTTATGGTTCTGTAAATATTTTCTATAAGCTACTGCTATTTAAAGTCTATCACGCAGGAAAACCCCAAGCATAGCCCTTTCCATAGCTCGCTGAGCGACTTTGAGGTTCCTCATATGGCCAGCAGTGAGGGACCGCGTCTCAGATCCATAGGTCATGATAGACTTAAAAACGGGGATATCCGCAGTTGAACAAGAGTAACTGACATTGCCCAACGAGTTAGCAAGCTGAAGTGGCAATGGGCCGGCCATACAGCTCGAAGAACCGACAACCGATGGGGAAGAAAGTTTCTCTAGTGGCAGCCTCGTAACAACAGACGATGTAAGTAAGACACGATGAGATGCAGGTGGTGCGGAACCGTGCATTGTGGCGTTCCTTGGGAGAGGCCTATGTTCAGCAGTGAACTTGTGAGGGGCTGTAATGATGATGATGATGATGACTGATATTTAAAACCTGCACACTACATCGCGTAAATCGCATCCGTCTCGGTAAAGGCTAACTCTTAGGCACTTGATTAAAAAATCGTATTAGATTTATTTATCAGCTATCAAGAAATCTGCTCTTTGAATTTGATAGTTTGTGTTTGTAAAATGAAGTGATTATATCTTTGACAATGTAACATACTCATCACAGAATACTTTTACTTCTAGCGGAGAATACTCATACTGAACGGTCTCATAAGATGTTGCCACTCTTATATCTGTGTATATAACTTGTAATCATGTATCTTTGTCTATTCCATAGAGCCTAGCTACGAGTAAAACAGATATTTCCAAGGATATTTCATATAAGTTGACAACAACGCACTGTCTATGTAAGTTTTATATGAAAACGTGAAAATATGTCGAATTCAGCTGTGTGTGGTCAACAACAAAAGGAGGAGTAAAAGATCCGGAAATATTATTTTAATACGTAAATCTTAATAACATTTTCTATAATTTTAAATGCTTAAAGAATAAGTTTTTACCAGAAAACTTGTGATAATTACTTTTTATTAGTAATATGTCGTATATTCCTATGTGATAATGATAAAAATTAAGTGTAAAACTATTAATTATTCTAAGACTAAATGCATTGTTTTAACCATAACCAATTTTGCTAGTGATGTACCTACTAATTTAGCTTTCCGATAATATTTTAATTACCTTTTTTTCATTGTAACAATTATGTTTTAGTTTCCCAACACCGAAAATATTATGCCCAGAAATAACATGTGAGTGGATTAACGCTGTCACACGCGATAATTGAAAGCCCAATAAATATTGAAGGGCCAAGGAATAACAAGAAGAAATTTCCAACGATTCATTCCAAACATTTCGATAAATCCTGTTTTATTACTGGCTTATCGTTAAAAAAATGATAAATGATATAGTTCTAATAATTTTTGAAGAATGTCTAGTATACTATCAACTTATATCTTAATCGAAGATAGATGTAGATGTCTATGGACCACAGCAACCACTTACCATAAGGTGGACTGTGTGCTCGTTTGTCATCCTTATCCTATAAAAAAAATCTACCATCCTATATTATCCCGTGGGCGGCGTAAAAGGCGGCAGAGGAAAACTGAAACGGAAGATAAGCAGCACCATCTTTCTGATAACATTGCAATTCACATGCAATTCATTCACACAGTCTCCATCCTAAAGTAGTATTGACAACAAACCCCATTGTCTACAATTCTAAGTAAAATACAGTTTCACAGTCTTTCATATCCGCAGCAAGAACATCTATAACCAAAATCAGAAACAGCTTCAAGCCGTGAGGTACACTTTTCTTATTAAGTTGCTAAAGATTGTAATCCTTGCGATAAGCTCCTTTTTGGCAGAATGTGCGAACCAAAGATGAAAATATATATAACCTATAATTAATTATAATATAAAAATGAATCGCTGAATGTGTTGCTAAGCGCAAATCTCGAAAGCAGCTGAACCGATTTCGCTAATTCTTTTTTATAATATTCCTTGAAGTACGAGGATGGTTCTTACGGAGAGAAAAATTTAAAAAATTGCCTGAAAAAGTCTAAAAACAACACTTTTCTATATTTCCATACAAAACATTCGTAATAATACTTAAAAATCAATTTGAACTTTAATACCATACCATAAACTTTAAGTGTTAGTGGAGGGATTCCGGGAAGGCAAAACAATTGAGTGACGTAAGTATCGTATAAATATTAATGTCAATATTTGTCAATATTTATACACACTAGCAGATACCTGATGTTATAAGGAGTAACTTGGGTTCTCTCGCGAAAAATAACTCCACGCGGGCGAAGTCGCGGGGATCAGCTAGTATATTATATAATAATAAAGATGGTCCATATTAAGATTACTCTTAACCGACAAGCATGTATGCGTAGATAATAATTATATCGAGGTGAAAGAACCATATGCGTCAGGATCGTGATAAATAGAAGTCCGTAATCTTTAAATACTCCTTACGTAGTTGAGCCACGCTGCAGCTATATTGTGGTTGTAGCACGGATGGGTCGGCTTGTCCGAGGTAGGGTCACGCTCTCACAGAATACCAGCGTAAAATCGAAGCTTAATGCTGTTTTGTTTTGTATGGTGAGTTTAGAGAAATGGAGATATTTTTTACTGGAAAAGAGGCATTCCATCTTAGTCTCCAGGGGTGACAACGCATCTGCATTTTGATTCTAAATCGGATACGAGAATAAGTGTAGATCTCTATGGTCCATAGCATCCACTTATCATTAGGTGGACTGTATGCTTGTTTGTCACCCTTATTCTCAATTCGAGCACATGGTTTTTTTGTATGTAGGTTACCGATTTTGTGAATTCTTTTTTACTAAATAAGTAATTCTTTAGGGGTAGTCTTGTGAAATTTGCAGAAAATGTTCCTTAACCGTAAGGGTGATAAAAAGAGGGGAAGAAAGTTTAATACGACTATTTATTTAAACGACATTCGAGCTTTTTAAATATTTTAGTCCACTGAAAAGGGTCAAAAATAGACTTCTAATAAAAAGTATATGTCGAACTCAAAGAAACAAAAAGAATAAAATTATTTCCGCATGATAGCTTCAGAAGAGAGAGAGAGAGTGAGAGAGAAAGAGAGAGAGAGAGAGAGAGAAAGAAAGAAAGAGAGAGAGATAGATTTAATATTTTTATACTCTATGTCTTGGCACCAACTTTATAGGATACTCAAGGAATGGTTACTCCAAATTTCAAATCTAGGCCCACCGGCTTAGTTTGTTCTTTGTCTGTCAGTCAGTCATTCAATCACGGTAGATTTCTGTTTTCCTTGTATGGTGTTTGAATTTTATATTCGTATTCAATTGTACGTGCAAAAATTATATTAAATATTCGATTTTCAATTTAAACGCGTTTTCTTAATTTTACAATTATTTAATCAGTAATCTAGATAACATATTCACTTGTGCGGCCCGGAGGGGAGTAGCCATAGCGTTTTTTCTGTCTGTCATTTTTTGCGGGGGGAAATCTGCACACATAAAAATATTTACCTTTCACTACGACATCACAACTCACTGATTACAATTAAAACAATGTACTAACAATTTCATACACAAATAGATACATTATAATACTATCACGCGGTGATAGTAATATAATGTATGTCGACCGATCCGATATTGTATAAGAGCGAGCGGCCTGTGTTCATCCGAAACAACCCGACCTTTATTATTGTAATTTAAAGTTTAAATAAACTTGACGTAGCAGATTTCTTTTTGCAGAAAAAAACTGAATAATTTGGTATTTTTGTAGGACGTAGATTAAGCCATGCAACTAGATTTAGTTTTACGCACAAGACCGCGTGGACTTGTACTTTGTCAGAGGGGAACACCTCCGGTCCGCCGGTGGCCTGTGTTGCCCTATGTCTATAACTGACAACTGACAAAAACAAGCACGCTAAAAACGAAATGGCTCTACCTTACCAGTATGATTATTTATCCAAGGATTATACATTTATAATATACTGTTATATAGTTTGACTTTGAAATGTAGGTTCTCTTTGGAATGCATCTATGTAGATAACCAAAGCGCATATCAAAAATACACATAATAATCTATGGAGTATATAGTAATCTACATACTAGTTAGCCTGTGGTATATAGATTAGCTTGCTACATATATATTTATCTATGATATAGATCACTATGCAATCACTACCACAGATCACTACGCTTAACGATAAATGATTGAAATGCGTCATACATTACATTAGTTTTTAAATATTTATATAATAATCTATGTTATTGAGGGCACTGTGATTTTTACAACCTTTCATTCATAATTGATATTTAAATTAATTTAACCTACTTATAGATTTGAGAACAAATTCATACAACCAAAAAATTTGACATGTCCTGCGGCCAGCGACCTCCTAAAAAAACTTGGGACAAGCCAAAGCATACCAGAGTAATCAAGCCATCTCCATATGAAAAAAATGAAGCATCCGTCAAACTTCATTGGAGAAATGTAGTGCGACGCTTGGAATCCTCTTATAAAGATGAACAGGTCATGTGACTTCTGGTCAAGTTTTTAGCTTAAAACTATTATTTATCCTCATCATCGTCATTAGCCCGTATAAGTTCACAGCTGGATATGTGTATCTCCCGTTATAGGAAGAATTTACCTTAATCGTCACGCTTTGCAGGTGGAGTGACGATCGCAGCACCAGATGTCCGGCACCTTTAACACTGCTGCTCGTCACCAGCCTTGGTATTTTACGCCTGGTACAGGATCGTAATAGTACTACTAATGGACAAAATGGGGTTATGAATTCTCTTGTGCCGCCACCGCACCCCAAAACTATTATTAACATATTTTTATGTTTAGGGTAAAACTATCTCATATCATCTATAAAGGTTTCAATATTTTAATAAAGAACATAATATTTACTTAATTATGACTATCTGTAAAATATACCACTGCAATATTGCCTTTTACAAAATAGTCGGATTTGCGATCACATTGCCTCTCCAATCTTTGAGAGTGCAACCCACGACATATCGTGAGTTTCAGCAGTATAGATATTTCCAAGAATGCGCCAGTTTGTCAGTATTACTTCGAAGATTTTCCCAAACTCACCACGCTGGACAAGCGAGTTGGTAATCACAGAGGTGAAAAGTCACCTCTGCGATTACCAACTACAGAGTTATCAGGGGCTTTCCTCTGATAATCCTGATAATGTGAACTAGAGTCATCAGGGGAAAGCCCCTGATGACTCTAGTTCCCCTTATCTGTCTGTGACATTTGAATTCAGAAAATGAATGGCAGTTAGTACATGATCCCGTGGATATCTTAAAAATAACTAAGAGTAATAAAAGACCTGGTGGCGTCTAGCCAGTGGAGGAACATCAACCATCATGGGTCCGGATAATTTAAGTATGGTTTTAAGTATGACATACGTAAATTGCCCGGACCAATGACAGGTATCATCATTACATTATTCATTAGAAGTTGTTCTACCTTACACCCGTTACACGGTTAGAGACGTGATGGGAGGTATAATTATTAATAATCAAACATTTAGAGTATTTTCTTACTTATTAATTTGCTTGAACAGTTATACTGATGTTAAAGACTCTGTCGCTCTTACGAGCCTTAAGTGCGACAGAGAGCACAACAGGCGGCGTCCTATTTCCATTTTTATTGCACCGCGGGCAATAAAAAGGTAAACAGGACAATCTTCCTCTCTTTTTAAAAAAAATAAAAGAGCAAAAAATTGGTAACTACAATTCTTATTGCAAATTTATCACACACTTGGCGGTAAAGAAAAACATCCTGAAGAAACCTGCATATGATGTGAAATCTTCCAACACTGATTAAAAGCTTCTCAAAAATAAGAGCAGGCCTGTGCTCAGCCTTAGGACGTATAGAGGATGTAACTTTAAATAATTTGTATATTTTATTGATTTCCTGTTCAATTTTGTTTTTTTTTTTTATAGTTTTGGGAGTCTCAATACAGTACTGTTCGAGATTTATTGGAGCCGGTAATATTTAATCGAATCATAAAAATTTTTGATTTACCGTCGGAATCAAAAAGGTATGAACCTCCAGAAGAAGATAATATTTCACTCCTGCCTTCGGAACACTTTTTCGAAGCAACATCTTTTATAGAAGTAAGCGTCAATTACCTCATAACTGTGTCCGATGTTTCTCATATATCATATTAATATATCATATTTTATTATCTATCTATCTCTTACATCATATTTTTTATCATCACACAAAAATTTGTCGAAAAAAGCCTTAATGGTTTTTTGAACACTTTTATTTATGCAACTCTGATCTTTAATTTGTTTGAATTGTATTTTATCCTGTGTATAAATTTAATCTGATAGTAGAAAATTAACCTTAAGTCATATTTTCTTATGGGTGGATACTGAGTTAAAGCATTTACGTTCGGATTTTGATTTTCAGCATCACATTGATATCTAAAATGAGGTACTGATCGAAGAAATATTTGCGTCAACACATGTGATTAACCGACTTCGAAAAGAAGGAGGTACTAAGTTCGACTGTATTTTTACGTGTGTTAAAATCTCATAACTTTTTTCTAGGTGAACCGATTTTGATGATTCTTTTTTTATTTACTGATGCCTCTCATGTGGTTCCATACATCATATTTATGAGTTTGTGTGTATCACTCAATTATTAAGGATAACTCAAATATGTATATTTGAGTTATCCTTAATAATTTATATTGAAATCGGTTGTACAAATTTATTAATTTTACCACTTGTATCATAGACAAATGTATGATAAAAAAGTACATGCATGCATGCTATAGTTGATACGAACGAGTTAACGAACACTACTGCTGGCAAATCTTTTATCTAATAATTGTGTTAATTGTTTATATAATATGTAATGTAACGTTGTCCATCAATCCATTGCAGCCTTTAAGAAACCACAGCTGAACACAACACATTTTTATAAGAAAGATGCTGCTGCCCATCTCCTGTTTCACTTTCCCTCTGTCGTCTCTTACGACACAAACGAGATGATATTATGCGATAGTAGATTCTCTGATGCCGCCACTACACGTCGTCTATACATAAGTGTAATTACTAAAATTTAGGATTGTAGACAATCCCACAGTAAAGTAAATGCGGTTTACGTTTTTTTTTAACGTGGTAGAGCCATGCTGCAGCTATATTAGTAGTATAGTTGTAGCACGAATGGGTCGGTTCGACCGGGGAAGGACCACGCTCTCACAGAATACCAGCGTAAAATAGCACCTTAACACTGCTGTGTTTCGTATGGTGAGTGTAGAGGACTGGAGAGCCTTTTTACTGGAAAAGAGGCATTCTATCTTAGTCCTCACGGCTGACAACGCATCTGCATTTTGATTCGCAAACGAGGATAAATATAGATGTCTATGGGCCACAGCAACCACTTACCATCAGGTGGACTGTGTGCTTGTTTTTCACCCGATCATATAAAAAAAAATCGATAAAATAGTTTTATCTTTTTCCCAAGACATTTTTGTTTTGTATAATGTACTTAAATTAGTTTTGACAAAAAAGAGTGGGAAGAGGGCCAATAACTTCGCTTACGTCACTACAATGATACGGCTAACGAAAACGTGTTAGTGGTACAGATTGCGCCCTACGAAATGAGTATAGCTGGACGTACTTTCATATATGTATGCTCAAAACCTAACCCAAATAGTTAATGGTTACATTAATGACTTGTGTAACTATTTGTAAATGCATCACATCAATTATTTAGAAGACTACCAAGTAGACTGGTAGTAGGTACCAAGGTAGACTGGTAGAGAATGCCTTAGGCATTAAGTCCGCCTATATACCACATGTGTATATGAAGTTTTAAATAAATAAATAAATAAATAAATTATTTGCAAAGATGATTAAATATTAAGCGAAATAAAATTGCTATTAGTAATTCCGCAACTTTAACATCTAAGTATCAATAAGATTATAAAAGACTTTCAGACCATAATACATCTTCTTCTTTTTAATCCTCATTATCATCCTTACAGCCTTCACAAGTCCGCTGGTGAACGTAAGCCTTCCATAAAGAATATAACAAAGCACGTCACCTGCATCTATCGACTTTCTGCATATATTAGCAGGTTATTATTACCGGTACGATGTTGCCATCCGAGAACATTTCTTCCCCTTCGGTTGTCAGTTTTTCGAGCTATATGACCGGACCATTGCCTCTTCAGCTTATAGCTTCTTCTTCATCATCAGCCCTTAAAAGTCCACTGCAGGGCATGGGTTCAATGGGTTCCCTTCAATTATCCCATGCTTCCTTCAATAGAGCATTTGACTCACGCTTGTCAGGTGGATTGACTTTCTACGTTAGAAGCCCGTCTGGGTACAAGAGTGACTCTTAAGTAAGTGTAAGCGCTTGTTTATCCATTTCTGCACTTTATGCACTGCTGGGTTCCGATCTGAAGGGTAGAGAGAGTCAGTATAGAAACAGATTGTGAGAAATTCAACCCAAGGCGTGACAACGCAACTGTAGCCTTCTTTGTTTGAAGTTGGCTGCGGATGTCAATGTACAGCAAAAGTCATTTATCATCATGTGGTAGCTAAGTTTGTTTGGCTCTTATTAAATATTATTAAACAAAACTGAAGAAAAACGTTTTCGATGACTGGGCTTGATACACGAGCGTTTATCACACAAAAATGTAGACCAACGTTCTCACTGACTTCGCTTGATACACGAGCGTTTATCAAATGAAACTGAAGCGCAACGTTCTCATCGATTTTACTCGATACAGTCTACAAGATCAAGATCGATAAACGCTCAATTTTAGATTGATTTGATAAACGTTCTATCAAATCAATCTGAGATTGTATCTAGTAAAAATTATTTTGAAAGGTCGATTAATCTTTTGTCGTCCATCCATGTCCCGTTTGTAATAAATCGTTATTCGTCAACAGTGGCGCAATTTACAAACTGCAAAATTTCATCCAAATTGTTGGAGCCGTTTTGGAGAAAGTAGCAACATTTTACTTTTATGGGGTATTTATATATAGTATTCTCATCTGGTAGGGCAGTATAAATATACGAAACAAAATTATATATTTAGTGTATATATACATTAAAGTAAATTAAATAATAATAAAAATCATCAGAGCTTCAGTTTAAACTCAAGTAATAAGAGCCTGAACATAAGCTTCAAAAATCTGCTATTGTATTCAATTCAGTTTCCATTACTAGATCAGCTTGAGGTTACCATAAAATTATTAAGCGATGTTAAGTACGCCTACATGCCAATAATCGATAAACCGAAAGTAGGTGAAAATCAAAATTACTTAATAAAGAAGTCCAATACATAATCTTCTCCTATTTTCCACCCTTACGGGCGCAATATTTTCTTAAACATCTAATAGAACTACCTCGGAAGTAAGGCCTATTTAATAAAAAAATAAATATCAAAATCGGTTCACAATCTGCGAAGATATCGCGTTACCTCCTCTTTTTGAAAGTCAGTTAATAAAAAAAGAAAGACATCTCGCTCTTTTGCCGCTGCGGTCACGAGTCTGGGTTTTTTGTGTTTAGCGTAAATGAGATGGTTATATTGTCATCTATCAGAAGCCATAACATGTTTTCTGGTATTTTGCTCATAGTCACCACTTACGACAGCCAAGGGAAGAAACGGGTTAATGAATTCTCTAACGGAGCCACCATACGGCAATCTATCTAAATATAATATCTAAGAGTCATATTTTAATATTAAGTAGAGTATGCGTTTCTTTTAAAAAAAAATTATATAGATTAATAATTTTCAACAGTGGTAGAGCCACGCGGCAGCTTTAGCTGTCGCACGGATGGGCCGGCTCGAACCGGGGTGGTACCACGACCTCACAGAAAACCAGCGTGAAGTAGAGGTTTACCTCTGCGTTTCGCTTGGTGAGTGCAGGAGGCCGGAGGCCCTTATTACTGGAAATGAGGTATTCCATCTTAGTCCTCACGGGTGACAACGCATCTACATTTTGATTTGTAATAGAGGATAGATGTAGATGCCTATGGGCCGCAGCAACCACTTACCATCAGGTGGACTGTGTGCTCGTTTGTCACCCTTATCCTTTAAAAAAAAAGATATTATATTATATTTATTGCGATATATAGTTATTGCATATAGATAGCTATTATATTTATTGCGAAAAAATTGCATTTCCTAGTTAGTCTTAAATATGTCGTTTTATGTAATTTATAAGTAGGTATCAAACGTTTTGTATACATTTGTCTAAATTTACCTTTTTTATAGCAAAATCCGCAACCTCGAAGTCGGATAACATTTTCTATGATCGATGTGCAGCGAACACCAAGTGAAGGACAAACGAAAGAACAATCCGAACATTGGACAGTTACGTCTCATGTGTCTTCAGAATATAAAAAGCTAATACGCTCTAGATCAACCATAAGGTCGAAATCATTAAACGTTTTGAAATCTCCATCAAAATCAACCTTTCCTAAGTTCACCTCGAAAGTTTCCAGATCACTTTCCAGGAAATCTAAATATTTTAGTTCAGGACTTTTCTCGGAAGACACACCTCCAGAGTCTGATGATGACTTAAAAGTACATCCAAGTGATATGGATACGTAAGTATTTTATTTATATTTACGTACTTACCAAAATATGCTAAATATATGTTAATATTATTATGAAAACAATTTTTATTGGTTTATACAAGTCATGCAAATAATACATAGAATATAATTTTTAATTAATTTACTTTGCTTTTGCAGGAAACCTCAAACTCGAATTGAAAATCCACACTTTAATTTTTTATATTGCCATGAATCTGAAACTGATATGATCAAGTGGCAATCTAAATTTAAGCAAAAAGATTTTGATGTTTCTGCATCTGATCAATTCAATAAAAAAGCAGAAATGGCTACTAAAAAAGTAAAGTAAAACATTTATTAACTACTACCATTTAAAATAAGTAGTTACAAATACTTTGTAGTTGTCAATTGTTATTGTTCATATGTTTGAATACAAATTTAATTATTTATCTTTTATTTTAATCTAGATTGCGGCAGAATTTTTCGAGTGGTGGACAGGGTTAGGTAATGAAGAATATAAAAGTGAAATTAAACGTCCTGAAGACATTGAGGACTTATTTCAGGTATCAAAAATCATTAATAAATAAAGGGAGTTACTTAAAAATACTAAACAAAATTATACTGTTAAAATATTTCAGGTTTGGTTTGATGAACATGCATCTCAAGGCTTAAGACTCGAGCCAAAAACTCTTCCTTGCGTCAATCAAAGTGTTGCTGATTATGTTGGCGTGCCTAAGGTAATTATAATACTAACGTGAATGTTACTTCTACTAAATAAAATTTTAAGAGAATAAAGGAACATATATATATTATATAAACTGAACGACTCGACCGAGTGAAATCATTTCGAAACGATGGTTTATATCTATGGTATGATCGGTCAGGTAGCGCTGTTATTAAGTTCCTATAAAATCTATATTTTTGGACAAAAATGACTCATATTCTTTTTTTATAGGATAAGGGTGACAAACGAGCACACAGTCCACCTGATGGTAAGTGGTAGCTGTGGCCCATAGACATCTACATCTATCTTCGTTTAAGAATCAAAATGCAGATGCGTTGTCACCCGTGATGACTAAGATGGAATGCCTCGTTTCCAGTAAAAAGGGTCTCCGGTTCTCTACACTCACCATACGAAACACAGCAGCATTAAGCTGCTATTTTACGCTGGTATTCTGTGAGTTCATATTCACAATTTATGTTAATTCAATGCCAAAAAAGAAAATCACAAACTGTACACACACTGTAAAAAATATACGGAGTGAACATGTCAACGTCTGTCAAACCAGCTTGAATATATAATATAAATTACATCAAAAATATGCATATAGTCAAATAAATTTTCTTTATACTGTATCCGTACACCGTTCATAAATTACGAGGTAGTATAGACATAGGCTAGTTTATCCAAAATATAACTAACTGATAAAAATGTCTCGTGAATTTATTTTTACTCCAGGCTTCATGTCCAAATTTTCTGAAAAGGCAAATAGCGTCTGATATACGCGCAGAAAGTAGTCCGGCTCATACAAAAGCTTTTGGTAAATGTCTCCCACAAAACCTGAAGCACATTCCGCCACGAAACAACACTAAGAAGATTTGGCATGGCGTAAAGATACCGGAAGATCTTCGATCTATGTCATACATATGGGGAGAAATAGAACATCTAACGTAAGTGAGAATAATTTTTAATAACGCAGATTTAAAAAATGTAGACGCCGTTACGTTATTATATGTATAGGTATTGCCATAATTTGAAATATACGGATAAAAATTAACATAAAATATACTTTATTCTAACTTTTTACAGTTCAACTAAAACCTTTTATAATTGGTTAAAACAGCGACCTTACTTACCAATGCCACAATACTTTAAAACAATGGATAATTCTGGTGAAAAGAAGCTGTTTGATGTGCCATCGGACTATGTGGTCAAACAGAAATCGTCGACATCCATAACGCAAGAGTTGGCGTTCCCGGTTTCAGAATTTACTTTAGAATTGAAGGAAGAATTGAGCAAAATTTTAAATGAGTAATTTGTTTCTACTTTACAACAATATTTTATTTTAATTTTAATATGAATATATTAGCTATCGGCTTCAATATAAAACGTAGTGCCTTTGAATTTTCTTTATTTTTTTTTAGGTAATAATATTTTTTTTATTCTTTATCAAATTGAAACATACTTTCAATAACTATTTATACTAAAAATTAAAATTATGCTTACTTTCCGGTAATGGCCTATCCCGCCAAGTTTTTTAGTATACGGTATCCAGCCAAATGTTTATAATTATCTGGCTGGATACCGGATATTTAATAATACGTATAAAATAGTGCTTCAAATACGAAGTCATATAAAAGTATTTTTGAATAAAAAGAATTATGGATTTTATCGCGTTTAATTTGATCTCTTACCACTTTTTATTTTATTAATGACGTTTCGAATACTTGCAACGCCCATACTTAATGGACAAATTAAAAAAAAATAAAGAACCCATGCTCACAGTGGGATCATGGATACTTGTCCATTAAATATGAATACTACACATTGTCAACTGTCTGACCATGGACAAACATTGCACATTATGCAGTAATCATGTAAAAAATAAAAAAAATATAAGAAATCATAACTTTAGTACCTACTTAAAGTTAACTCTGCCTTCACCTGGCCTCGTTCGTTTTATTCAGAGTCAGCATTACTTGTATATTATCTTCATTTGGGCTCATTTCGAATTCCTGGTCATGGTTATCCACTATCAGACAGGTGGCTGTTCTTTATTCGGCAGTCTCTTGTCTCAGTATATTATTCATATATGGGCCGTCGCAATGATGCTCTACCATTTTTTTAGTGATGTAACTTTGAAGACTTTATTTTGATGTGAAAGTTTCGTACATCATACGTATCAAGTCACCCCTTACAGTCACCTATTTCAGCATTTTAGACTTGTCAGTAATATGGATCATGTCAGGTTTGCTTAAGTCTTGTGTACTTATGCAGTCTTACATATTCTGTCCCTGCCGAAGAAAGTCCACTGCTGAATAATAGGCCTCCCCCAAGGAATTCCACAAAGCACAGTCCTAAGCCACCTTCATCCATCGACTTCCTGCATGTCTTACCAGGTCGTCAATTCATCTAGTGGGGGGACGCCCTACCTTTCGCCTACCGGTACGAGGCTGCCACTCGAGAACATTTTTCCCTCATCGGTTGTACAATAGTTATAGGTTGTAAAGTAGTTGTACATTCTCGTTTTCCGATTTTGAGGTATACCTGACGAGAAGATGTGTCGTAATTTCCCGAACGCTGCCCAGTCGAGTTGAATCCGTCGATTGACCTCTCGGTTGAAGTTGGACTTACCTAGTCGGACTATTTGTCCCAGGTAAACATACTCGTCAACAACTTTGAGCTTAGTGCTCCCAACAATTGCCGGCATAGGTGTGACACGGACATTAAACATGAACAAAGCGCACCATTATTTTATTATTATTAATAACATGATTAAATAAAAATGATAGTGAGAAATTATTTTATTAACATTAAAAGAACAATGAAGTTAAAGTAAAGTAACGACCTGGATTAGCAATTACCACTGCTGCTCACTGGCCTTATTCTTGTGAATGTTATGGAGGAAGAGAGTTCACCGCATTTCATACGTTTTAAAAAAAATATTGTCACAGACATATGCAGGATTTCTCCCGTTGTTTCTTTCATCACTGAACAGGTAGTAAATTAGCACCGAAGAGATTTAAATATGAGGAGCGCGGTGGTAGATGCAAGGGTTTACCGGGGCTCTAACGTAGGGACGGACCATTACTTGGTCTTATGCCGAATTAATGGTCTTTTCAGACGTTGGAGGCATCGGAAATCTGTGTCTACCACTGCGTTACAGCGTATAAGAACAGAGGTTACAACACGAAGGTGTGAAAGAGAAGTTCAAATGTAGATTGAGAGAAAATATAAGTGGTATGGCTGAATCGTGTACGAATGATTTAGACTTGGAGACTGTGTGGTATAATGTCAAGAAAGGTTTGATGGATGCAGGTACCGAAGTATGTGGTGTAAGTAAGAGAACGAATGAAAAGAAAAATAACACGTTATGGTGGGATGATGAGGTACGGATGAAAGTTGAAGCAAAGAAGAAAGCATGGCAAGATTTACTAGCAACTAAGGCTAGTTATTGTAGCAGTATAAATGATGATATTGAAAGGAAATAGGCAGTCTTTAGACATCTAAATAAGAGAGTAAAAGAAGTAGTTGAAAGGAAAAAGGCAAGAAAGAATGGATAAGAATGATAGAAGAATATCGGATAACTTCCAGGCAAACATTAAAATGTTCTGGAAACTCGTAAGAACTGCCAGGGGACATTCAAAACAGCCTAAAATGAATGCTATACGAGACCAGAATGGCTGTATTCTGACTGACGAAGTTTTGAGTTTAAGGAGATGGAAGGAATACTTTGAAAGCGTGTTTATGAGTGATGAGTCGTTTGAATTAAAATAAATAGAAATTCCGAAAGAAGAGGAATTAGATAGAGATATAAGTATAGATGAAATAATAAAAATATGAAAAGTATGAAAGCAGGTAAGGCAGCCAGATATGATAGAGTATCACTCGAAATACTAAGGGCTTGTTGTGCACCTTGTTTAATTTATGTTGGGAACTGAAGCGGGTACCGGAAGACTGGTGCAAAGCCGTTATAGTCCCAATATATAAGGGAAAGGGCTTGCAGCAGGACTGTATAAACTACCGTGGTATCAGCCTTCTTAGCATTGTGGGAAAACTGTTTGCTAAGGTACTAATTGAAAGAGTTATGAAGGAAACTGATGGAATAATTTGGGATGTGCAAGCGGGATTTAGAAAGGGAATGTGATGTACGGATCAGGTCCATGCACATGGTCGCGGAGAAGTTTTTGGCCAAAAACCAAAAAGTTTTTTGTCCGTTCATGGACTTCAAGAAGGCTGATGACAGAGTGGACACTGAACTCATTTGGGTTGAGCGCTGGGTTGATACACGCATTGAAGTCTCTGTATAGGGACTCTAGTGCTTGTGTCAGGATCAACGGGGCCTACTCGGACTGGTTTGACATCCATAAAGGTGCCAGATAGGGCTGTGTGGCTTCCCCGTGGCTGTTCAACCTATTTATGGACAGTTGTTTGGAAAATTTGAAAGTAGAAGAATGCGGGTTAAGAATGGGTGAGTTAACCGTCAAATGCCTTTTGTACACCGATGATCAAGTCGTTCTTGCGTCGTCGGCGGCCGAGCTGCAAATGATGGTTACATTAATGAACAGGACATTAAAAGAAAAGGGAATGAAAGTGAACGCAAGTAAGACGAAAGTTATGGTTTTTGAAAGAGAAGAAAGTAAAACGATATGTGAAATAAGAAGAGACGGTAAGTTAGTCGAGCAAGTAGATGAGTTTGTGTATTTGGGATGTGCGTTTAGCAGGGATGGTAGATATGATAAGGATATAGAACGACGAGTGAACGCAGGAAATAGAGTGAATGGGGCTCTACACCTTTTTGTGAAAAGTCAGTATGTGTCCAAAAAGGCACGTATGGCAATTCACAATGCTGTGTTAGTACCTACTTTAATGTATGGTAGTGAAAGTTGGGTGTGGCAGAAGAAGCACAAGAGTAGAATAAATGCTGTAGAAATGCGGTCATTAAGCAGTATGTTAGGGATGAATCTGAATGACAGAGTGAGAAATTGTTTGATAAGAGAAGAGTGTGGTTTGCAAGATGATGTTGTGACCAGAATTAAGAAAGGAATGCTTCGTTGGTTTGGTCATGTAGAAAGAATGAATGAGGAAAGAGTGACAAAGCAAACTTATGTTGCAGAGGTGAACGGCAAAGTCGGAAAGGGTCGGCTTGGATGAAAGTTTATCGACCGAATTGGCGATATATTGAAAATGGACCAAATCAACATCCAGATGATGTGAATGGTAACTTAAGTTTAGTCGCGATGTGCGTGGGTGAAATTAGGCGGCTGGAATCCTCAGACCACTGCCCGTGATTAATGTGATAAAAAATGTAAGATGCCCAGATGTCCAGAGATGAGAACAGTGTTCCATGTGAGGCCAAATCTGCGCATACTGTCCCGCTCTGCTGAGCACGCCAAGATTTTTAGAGACCAGTTTAGCTTTCTCTTATAAGTGACCACAAAACTGCACATAATTCGATATTTCTACGCCGAGGATTTTGATACTGGCTGAGGCAACATGGGGTGTGCCCTGAAACTAAGGAGATATGACAAAAAGACCAGAATGCTCATGTCGTGTTCCCGAAGGAAGGCGAAATAGTTTATAGTCAAGAATATTTCTAATATAGAAATTTAAAATAATATTATACATTATTTTTTACTCCAGCCCAACGGATCAGTAAGTTAAAATGGCAATGGGCTAGACATAGCATAGCCCGAAAAACCGATAAACGTTGGGGAATAAAGATTGTCATATGGAAACATCGTACTGGGAAACGAAGTATAAGGCGGCCCCCTATCAGATAGATTATTATCGTGTGATGATTTAATTATGATGATATATTTCATAAGTAACAAAAGTCCTGCTGTAATATTAAATAACCAGTAATTCAGTGTATATTCATGGTATAAAGTTTGTGACATACATACATTTAAATAACAAGTAGGTTCATTACTTTCTGTTAAACATTAGTTCTTTTGAATATATATATATATATTAATGACACAGGAAAGAATAAAAACAACTTAACGCCCCACGAAGGAGCCGAAACGAAGAGGCAGGGGGCAGTATTGCCAACAACGGTGACGACCAAGCCACATATTTCGACTAAGGTGTAGAGTTTGTGAAGTTATAGCTTGTAAAGTTAGGGCGTGAAAAGTTAGAAGTTTATATCCATATGAGATCTCATAACTTTCTTGCAGTGCGAGCCTCATGGTCTCAGATAGATTAACGATCTGGTAAGCGATGCAGGAATCCGATGGATGCAGGTGACTCAGCACCATGTTTTATGGCATTCCCTGGAGAAAAGCAATGTTTAGTTGCGACTTGCGTCGGGCT